TCTGTAATTTGGTAAGCCACCCCATTATGATGTTATCCTTCTTTTACTCTTTAAAATTAAAAAAAAAAAAAAAAAAGAAATCTTGGATAATATTAAAGTGCTTCATGCTTCAGTTTACTAATTTGCAATATGCACACAATTCTAGTACCTCATAAAGTCATTGTTTAAGTAAATTATTACATGTAAAGCACTCAACAAGCATTGGTTCTATTATTTTATTAGCCAGTATTCTTAAAGGTATGCATGTTAATCCACATATTAAGAAGAAAAAAATTCACCCTTCAAGGGACTAAATAACCATCCCAATCTAATAAACAGCCAATAAAAAGTGGAGACAGGACATGAACTTAGGCATTTTTTACTGCAGTCTACATTCTGACCCTGGGCTATGCTACAGTATATGTTTACAGTAAGAGAAAAATAACACATATACTTACTTCGTTCTGTGGTTGTTTTTCATTTCTTCAAGAATGGAAAAAGTTGTAGGAGCACATCCACCATTGTCTAATGAGGCAGATTTTTCAATGAGACTGGTCACAATGTCATCAAAGTGACTACCAACTTCCTTCAAAAAAAGTGGCTTCAATTGCTAGAATTTTACAACAAATAAAGAAAAATATAAGGAATGAGCACATGCTGTGAATTATTAACATTCTTCTACAGACATGGCTTTAAACAGAACTGGTTCAAAAGAAACCCACACTAAATAAGTGAATTCACTGGAAAAGTAGAAAAGTAATTCCTATAGCTGACTTGCTTCAGAAAGGGCTACCAAAAAAAAAGAATATAGTGATTTTATACTCTTAAAATAATTTATATCTTTCCAAGGATAAATTAAGCTACCGAAGTAACTGCTATCGAACTCCTACAAACAATACATAAAATAAAAATGATAACGACCATATCTCTTCATATTTCTATTTAGAAAATAAAAAATTTTGTATCTCCATTATATAATTACCATAATTTTAAGTCTTTTTTTTCTAAAGCAAACCCTTCACCTCAAGTACCCATCACTCATTTTAGGACTTCCTATATTATACTTAAATTTCTACATTGTTTATTCCTACCTTCTTAACTACAGTATTTATCTAACCATAAAACATTTATGTTTATATGTGTATATGTGTGTATATGTATCCATATATATATATATATATATATATATATATATACACACACACAGATATTCACATTTTCATAAAATTGTATGAGGAATTTAAGCCACCACACAGAATATAAATAGAAAGGAAAATTCTGGGGACACTATAGAGAGGGTCTATGTTCCCTTGAAGAAAGAATAGTTTTTATAAAATTATTTTTCGCTTTAATAATATTTTAGTTTCTTTGTTCCATTTCAATTACATGCCCATTTTTATTTTCAAATCTTTTAATAGAAAGTACCCCAAAGCACGAACAAAACTGCCATAAAGGAAAAAGGTTCTTTTGTCATTTAACCTCTATAATTAGACTAATTAATAGAAAGCGGTGGGGATATAGCTTAGCAGCACAGCACCTGCCTGGCAAGCGCAAGGGCCTGCATTCAATTGCCAGTACCAAAAAAAAAAACAGGGCAGGGAGGGGTTGTCCCATGTAGAACTACATCGAAAGATAAGGAAAAGGATTCCCTCATTCCAGCTCTGGATATCATCCTAGGTGCTGGACATACAACAATGCACAAACCCAGGCCCTGTCCTGGAGGAAGTCATGGGGCAGAGAGGATATACACACTATGTCACGTGGTACCATGGAAAGAAAGAAAGTGGGAGTGGTGGGTAGGGGTTATTATTTTTCACAGAGGCCAGAGGGGGAAAAAAATCAAAGATGACATTTGAAGAAAGAAAGAGGGCAAGTTGGCAGATATCTGTAAGTATCAGAATAAGGAAGTATGTAAAAAGTCCCTGAGGCAGGGAATACCTTTGGCAAATTCCAAAAAAAGAGTAAGGATAAAGGACATGTGGCTAAAACAAATATAGTAAGAGTTGAGGTCAGAAAACTGGAGGAAGGAGGGAGGGAAGTTAAGCCATTTAGGGTCTCAACACTTTGACATGTGCTTACATGTCATTTGACTTAGTATTAAAATAGAAGCCTGATCACCAGGCATGGCAGCACAGGCCCGTAATCCCAGAACTCAGGAGACTGAAGCAGGAGTATTCCACATGTGTTTGTGGCCAGTCTGGGATACATAAGCCAATTTAAGGCCAGCGTGGACTATAAAAAAAGACCCTATCTCAAGAAAGAAAGGAAGGAAGGGAAGGAGGGAGGGAAGAAGAAAGAAACAGGAAAAAAGAAAGAGGAAGAAGAAGAAGCAGCAGCAGCAGAAGCAGCAGCAGCAGCAGCAGCAGCAGCAGCAGCCTGGACTCTTAAGATGTGGCAAAAGTATTCAAGCTATTTCTTTTAGCTAGAATTCTTTACACTCTGGCACAAGTCTATTCCTAATTAACAATTAAATGCATGAGAATGTTATTCATTGTCTTGGTTACTTTTCACTCATTGCTGAGACAAAATACCTGATATCCAAAATTAAGGAAGGAAAGGTTTATTTAGCTCACTGTTTGTGGAGGTTTCAGTCCACACTCGGCTGGCTCCAAGGAAGGGTGGTACATGGCAAAGGGCAACAGTTCATGGTGGTGGAAGATAGCAAAAGCAACAAGAGCAAAAAAGGGAGGAGTGGGGGCAAGCAGCCTCTTTCCCTCCCTTACACTGTATGCAAACTATCCACCCCAGGACGGACGTAGCACTCACATCCATAATTCCAACAGTGGACCATGGATAAATCATAAACTCTAGAAGCCTGCCCCATAATGGCATGAGGCTTTGGGAGGACATGCAGACACAAACCATAACAAACATATATCAGTAAAAACTGCTGAAATTATGTCCTAATGCGCCCAACTTAAACTGAATAGTCACCTTCTCATGGCAAGCTCTTATGCCTTACTATTCAGCCATATGTACAGCCTTTGCTTGTGTCTAACAATGAGGAAAGATACTAATTACTAGGGGTACAGAAAATGCCACAAAAGGACAGTTCAGATGATAGTGGAACAGAAACAAGATGTAAAAGGAAGAAATCACAGGTATATTTCAATAGTATGAGCGCCAGCGCAAGGTATAGGTTTCAAGTTTTCTTACACATTTCTTTCTTACCCTTATGACTCAAGCAGAACATTGTTTGCATATGCTGAGCTTTATTAAGGTTCCTATTCTAATAAGATAAATTCACATCTTTTTTTCCTGCAATAAAATTTGTATGTGCGTAGTTCAACAATCCAAGGTAACTGTTTATTTAAATCTGCCAATTCCTATATATAGATTACAATAAGATGCCTAAAATGTTCACTTCTTAATGTCTCTCTCCTCTTTTTCTGAGGAGTTACAGTTGATAGAAGCTGTCCCCACTGAGATACAAGGAAAAACTCTTACTGTAAACACCACAAAGTTTCTTTACACTTCTCTTTTCATAGACCCTAATAGTGACAACAAAGAGTGATTGCTTGCTGACACATGCTTATCATCAATTTCACCTTCTCAGAAGGCTGAGGTAGAAGTGCAGAAAGTTCAGGGTAACGTGAGCAACTTAGTGAGACCCTGTCTCTAAGTAACATTTCTAATAAGGGCTGAGGGTGTAGCTCAGGGGCAGTATACTTGCCTAGCATGTGTGAAGCTCTGGGTTCAATCCCCAGTAAAAGGAGGAGGGTGATGCCTGCTTATTACTATCACTTCTTTGTAAGAGGGAATACAGAAAAATAATATCCAAGAAGTGGTCTACTTCTGCCTTTTCCCAAGTTCTATCACAGGAAGCTGCTGTCAATGAGAACTTCAAAATGTGATCACAATAAATCTAAGTAATATTTAATACAAGTAACATGAAAAGGATGTTGAGCTTATAGGCTTTTTAATTTGTTTGCAACTTCATAGCTATTAATATTAATTTCATTTGGTCAATGGACCATGGTCTCCTTACCATGATGGATGAATGGAAGGAAGGAGAAATGGAAAGGAAGGCAGAGGAAGAGAAGGAAGAAGGAGTGAATTAACTAGAAGCTAGAAAGAGGTGCTTATATAATCTAGAAAAGAGACTCACTATATTTTAGAGCTGAAAGAAACTTTTTTTTTTTTGAGGGTATTGGGAATCGAACTCAGGACCTTGCGCTTGTTGGTAGGTGCTGCTCCACTGAGCTATATTCCCAGCCCAGAAACTTATTTTAAATACAGCTGAATTACATAACCTCTAAGATTCAATAGGAATGACAACCATGAAGCAAAGACCCAATGGTTGGAACACATAGTAAAGGCATACGTGACTGGAAACAAAACTGAAAAACCATGTAGTGTCTACAACACAATGGAACTGTAAGCTCTTCTTGTTTTGAGACAGGGTCTTGCTATGTAGTTCAGGGTAGCCTTGAACTTATTACTATCCTCCTGCTATGATAGGTGTTTATCACCACACCTGGCATTTTAAGCTGTTACAAGAATTTTTATTTAATGTTATCCTGAGGACAACTGGAAGCCAGTGACATTTTAAGCACAAGATTTATAAACACATTTGGACCTGTAATTTAGAAAGTTAACTTTTCTTTAAAAAAAAGTTTCTAACAAAATAGTTGGATTTGAAATGAGAAAATGTCATTTATGGATAAATAAAATAACCTTTTCAATGGTATAGAGATAAAAAATTATTTTAAGTAAAATATGTAAGTTTCAAAATGTATTTTAATGTTTGTGTATTTGTTACATTTTTATTTTTATTACTATATGCTTGTAGTGCATAATGATTACATTCAGCATGAAGAGCTGGTACATGTACATAAGAAATCTTAATTATTTTTATATCACTCTCCCCTCCTTTCTTCCTTCCCTCCATCTCCTGGTTGTGTACTTTTTTGAAGCTATTTCCTTATTTAAGTGATCATTCCTCAACATTAAAAATTAGCATGGCATGATATTGCTATGACTCTATAATCAATTATTATATGTATTCCTGTAAATACGTTATATAATGTGCTTGGTTACTTGTAGTAAATATGGCTAATGATAAAGTTGTATATCAGAGTACAAAGATATAACAAAATAAGATGATCAATCAGTCAAATGATTCTTCAGAAGATAAATCAGTGAAGTGGTCTTTTATTGTATACAATCAGCAAAACTTGAAGATATGCATTTCTTTAAAGTATGGAACCAGACAAGGACTTTTGCAGTTTCGGGAGTTTTCTGAAAATGAGATACCATAAAAGCAACAGTGATTGCTAATGACTGCCACCCGATTCTACTTTTGATCAATATCTTTTATCACAAAGTCATTTTTGGCATACTGTATATAGTCACATGTCTTGCCGCATCTGAAATGTATTTCCCTCGACTAGCTTCAATAGCAAAACTGGCACATGCTTTGGCTTTTTCTGTTTTGTAGTTATTTATAAAAGTGAAATTTTGATCACATTGAGTCTCTTGACTGGAGTTCTCTTAAACTGACTCTAGACTAACAAGTCAATATTTCTTACATGCTGCCACATGCTTAGAGACATAAAAAAATTATAAAGTAGGCTGCGAGAAAGAAATAAAGTAAACCAATCAACATAA